AAGCTATGCCACTGGTATTTTAAATACCAGCAGGGTCACTCATGGTGGACAGGTTTCAGATGAGCTTCCAGACTAGGAAGAAAGTGATGAACTACTGCCGAATATTTAGTCGTCACTGAAAACTTTAATGAATAGCAGAGAAATGATTGGATGGGACTACACAAATAGGTGCTTACCCACCCACTAGGGATCGGACAACTTGATAGCAAGGTGCAAGGAACCTCTGTGGGGCTATCATGATGCAAGTAAGGTGTATAGAACATAATGAGTAGATTGGCCTGTTTTCCACACTCTGGACAAGGTTGGTTTGAACCACCAAGTTGGTGGTTCAAATCTATCAACTGCTCGGAAACCCTATGCACACGGTGACAGAGCAGACATGACTGCGCCTAACAAAGGCTTAAAACAGCCAATTCCAGAGTAGTGGGGGGACCTCACTTATCAACAAAATATGGGAACGGAGTGTGTCCTTTGGACCCAGGGTCCCTGTGTTGAGAAACCCCTCAGGAGACAGTGCTGTAACAATGAAAATGACAAGATGGTGACAAGCAGCAAGATACAGAGATGGGCTTGAAACAGCACAGTGGGCTTCCTGGCCCATGGAGCACGGTAGTTGAGCCACAGTTAGGCTGAAGTTAACTGGCAAAGCTGGGTAACCCTGGGCACTTATTGATGGAGCTAACGTGCTCTTTAAAAAGCTGGACAGAAAATTCAAGTAATACAATGAACTCAATGTGCAAAGACCTGGAGTTAACAAAACCAAAAGAGAAGGAAAAACACGCTCGGCATTTCTCAAGGTGAAAGAACTGAAGAAAAAATTTAAATCTCAGCTTGCAACATGGAAGGATCCTGGCGAGGTGTAGGAAAAGCACTGCATTGAGAACCACAAAGCCAGAAGTTCAAAACCACCAGCTGCTCCTTGGAAATCTACAGGTTTGCTGTGAGTTGGGACCTTGGCCATTTTAATATGAATATTTAAAGGTTAAAGTAGTATCTTTACCTTCTTCCTGAAAAGTATAGTGATATTGTGATGTGTCACTGAGTCGATTCCAGCTCATAGCAATTGCTTCATAGGGTTTCCTAAGCTGAAATCTTTATTGTTGTTAAGTACCGTGGAGTTGGTTCCGACTCAGTGACCCTGCACAGGGTTTCCGAGGCTGTAAATCTTTACAGGAGCAGAAAGCCTCATCTTTCTCCACGGAACAGCTGGTAGTTTCGAACTGCCGACCTTGCGGTTAGCAGCCTGGTTCGTAACCACTACGCTATCAGAGCTCCTTTACAGGACCAAACATAATAAAAAATCCACAGATAATGTTTAACGCTCCCCACTCCCCAAAACAAAACACTGTTACTTCTAAAAGCCTACTGTTGACTGGCAGCAAATTAACATGCATTTTGTGTATGTATTAAATACTGCACCCACATAAAAACTGCATTTTCAGTATGAGATAAAGATGGTATTTCACAAAAAGTGCATGGTTTTTTGTGCCTGCTAGCATAGCTGCAGCAACAACTTCACAAATTGCTTTTTTTTTCACAATGGTCCTTACACTACATTCATTTATTTTGAAATGGAGGGCAACCACAGCTGCAGACCTCAAACTACCACATACATTAAGCAATTAAAGTGTTCCTGTAATGTCACTTTTCTTTGCTTCTTGGGAACACTTTCAACAACACTGGTGGCAGTCTGTATGGGTCCCAGGGTGTTAGTCAAGGCTTACAGTATTACACTAAATACAATGAAAAATACATAAAAACTGCAAGAGATCAGTTTTACTGCTATATGCAATTTAATGGAGAGATGAACCACTCACATGAAGATAACTAACCTCTCACAGCATTGAAAAATATTTCTGTACATATTGGATGTGTGCAGTTCAAACCCATGTTCAAGGGTCAACTGTATTAATATTGCCAATATTGGTTTAAGTTTATCTATTAACTTTTATTTCCTAAATACTCCTCCTTTGATGTTCCTTTATGGGTAGGATTGCCAGATAAAATTAAATTTCATATAAACATTTTTTTTTCTTTTTTTTAGTAAAAGTATGATCCATGCAATATTTTTGGCATACTTGTGCTAATAATATTGTGTGTTTAGCTAAAATTCCATCTTAACTACTTGCCTTGTCTTTGTATTTGTTAAATCTGACAACCTTATTCATTGATTATTTCTGAGTTTTAATTTCTGCTATTAGAAGAGCTCTAGTAAAAGAGTTCTTTGGGTTCCTGAGACCAAAATATTTGAGCACTGCTATGGAATTCTGGTGTGGTGCTGTAAGATAAGCACTGGACTGCTAACTGCAAGATCAAGGGTTCAACCTACCAGCCTCCTCGGAAACCCTACGCAGGGTTGCTGAGTTGGAGTCGGCTTGACAGCAATTAACAGCAATTGTACTAAAGAAATGAGATCCTAGAGAACTTAAATAATTGGGCAAATGATACACAACTAGTGCATGGCAGAGCTAGGAAATAAAAAATAATGGAGTCCTGCTAATCACAAGGTCGCGGGTTTGAATCTACCAGCTACTCCTTGGAAACCCTACATAGGGTCACTATGATTCAAAATTGACTGGATGGCACTTAACAACAGTATGCATCTCAAGCAAATTATTTCAAGTCCATTGTATTAAATATGGAAGACTAACTTACATATACAATTTTACATACACACACAGTCCTCTCTAATACCTTATTGTGTCTGGTTTACTCTCATTACATTGTAACTTACTTTCCTTGAAACAAGAAAAATATGTAAGAACTATGACAGACCACTTTTTACTGGAAATTTAATTTAGTGGAGGGATGAACCACTCATGCGGCAATGATTAAAATCATACATGACATTAAGAAAAAATTCTGCATGTAAGTGGACATGCAGTTCAAACCCATGTTGTTTACATGTACATACATATCCCCTTTAATAGTTTTACTTTGTGTCTGGTTTACTCTCATAGGGAAACTTACTTTCCTTGAAGTAAGAAAAATAAAGGCAGCATCCTTCAGATGAATTATGTTTAACAAAGTATCAGCAAGGACTGTAATCAGTGTCACAGTTCAGTTCTTCAGGGAGGGGAATTCTGGGAAAAACAGCAACTGCAAAATCCATTGTTTCATTCAACCAAAATCCAAGAGTATAAAACAATTCCATTTGACTATTCGTATGATGCCTCTCCTTCCTCCTAACAAGGCAAAACTGTTCTCAGGACAAAGCTGTGGTAATGACTAAAAGAATAAGAACTATTGTTGCTGTTGCTGGCAGTTACTTGTTTTTTGAGAACTTGCAACATAGAATAGATTCAAACTCTCCATAAGGGCAGAGTTAATGGAATTAAGATTGGATTTTCGCTTAAATTCAGTTTGTGTATCCTGGAATCCTTGTTTTATTCTTTTAAGCTTTATCATTTAAATTGTTTTTTGTTTTTTTAAATAGACATTCAATTTACACGTTCATTCCAAAGATAGTCTAAAATACTGGAAGTCCCGGGGTTTCAGAATAAGCATATTTTTTCCCCTGAAAGATGTGAAGAGAAGCTGAATTATGCCCAAAGTAAAAAATCTTTTAGATGCAGGACTGTTCCACTCTTGGAATCCAGAGACTTTGGTAAGCAGAGAAATTATTATCTGGTTTTGGGTGTCTTCTGTAATTCTTGGAACCAGAGAGACAACACTGCAGTCAAAATTAGGCTGTAAACATCAGTGATGGTGAATTAATTTTATTTCTAAATTAGGTAATGGAGTAAATGGATGAAAAATAGTATTTTCCTACTAGAAATTTTCTCTAGAAATACTCTTTAATTCTCTCACCGTGAGGACCCTGACAACAAATATTTTGTGGCTCTAGGACATACCCACAAAACAAACTTTAGGGGAAAGCTCCACCTAATGGCAAATCAGCTTTCTGCAGTAGAAAGGACATTTGTATTCTTTGTTGTTGTTAAATGCCATCCCGTCCATGTCTGTTCGGACTCATAGAGACCCTGTATAGGGTTTCGGAGGAGCAGCTGGTGAATTTGAACTGCTAACCTTTCGGTTCAAACCAGCCTTGAGGTTACTATTAGATCTAGCTATGAAGCTATTTTCACTGAGAAAAAGAAACAGTATAAAACTGATTCTTAGTGTTTATCAGTCTAAAGAACGCTAAGGCAAAAGTGAAGATCAAGTAGAAAATAACAATTATAAATTAATTAATCAAGATCCTATCCCCATTTAATAATAGTTACTTTAAGTTTTTATGTGTTTAAACAATTTATTAGCAAATCATAATGAACTTAAGTGTTCATATTTGAGGTTGATTTAGGGTCAGTGTTTTCAACCATAATTGAGGGGAAAATATTACTCAGGGATTAATAATTATCTTTAAAAATAAAAATATAAATAATTGCTGATTCAGAAATTTACTAATTCTTTTTCTTTTACTACATGCACACATATATATCAGTCTTGTTTGATCTTTAAATACATACAGACATACCCATATCTGCTTACTAATAGCCACTATCACTTACTATATCTGTGTAATACTGTACAGTTTTCAGAGCATTTTCATTCATATTCTTTCTCACATCCATTATCTCCTCTGATTCTCATAATAATGTCCCTGAAGGTCACTCTGAGTCAGAACTGAGTCGATGGCACTAACAACAGCCAGATAGCCAAGGCAAATACTGTTCATATTTTACATAAACAGGAAGGGAGGCTCAGAGAGGTTTACAGAACTTGCTCAAGTCGGAAACCCTGTACAGGGTCACTATGGGTCGAAACCGACTCGACGGCACTTAACAACAACAACAACAATCATGATGGTTATCACTATCTTAGGTTGCTAGTTGAAGTTTATGATACTCTTGACAAAGCTGGTTAAAACTGACCAATCTAAAGGGCAAGTATTTTATACCACATTTCACATCTGATTTGATTACTTCCATTCTAAGTGACCAATCTAACAATCTGGGTATGAACAATATGATTAGAAACACACTAAGCCATTATATTACTTCAACAAAGACCACCTTTCACATCTCTTCTAATAAAAAGAAACTTTAAAAAAAAGTCCAAAAACCAAAAACAACCCCCACAAAACTCTAATAATGTGTGCTAGCAGGTCAAAATTAGAAATCTTTTGTTTCTTCACTGTGGTAAAGAATGTTGTTTGGAAACCTTTCATCTAAAGACCTGATTGTCAGATCTGAGGTAGAACTCCAGATCCAATTTTAGCCCTGGGAAAGCAAAGAGGACAAAACTCAAAAGCTTAATTTTCTGGATCAGGTGGGTGATTCAATGAGCTCTTTTCTGCCTCTGAGTCTGTTGGCCTAGAGACCTGGATATGATAGGGTCTCAGTTCTTCCGGAGGGATATAATCTGGAGCATTGCTCATGAGGTCGTGTCCCCGGAAGGATTTTGGGAAGGCTATGACATCTCTGATGCTTGCAGCTCCAGTGACAAGGCATAGCAGTCTGTCTAACCCTGTGAGTAAAGCAAAAAGTAAACAAATGCGATATCAGCCTAAGTTGGGAACTGCTTCCACTTTTCTTTAAAAGTATAGAGAAATCTTAAGTAAGAAAAGTTTTATTAAACAAAGTTCCCTACCTCGTGGGGGAACTTTTGTTTATTTGAGAGACTCTCCTATTACCATTCTGGAAAAGTACTCCATTTGTTCTACTAGGATTGATAGTTGCAGCAATTAAGGAGTCTTTATTAAGGGCTTAACAAAAAGCAGAAGGCAACCACTGTTATTGAGGGGTCTGTAATCTAACTAGGCTTCCAGGGATTGTTGAAACTCTTCTCTGCTGACAAGACAAGTGAGGTAGGCAAGGATGGAAATCACAATACTGGCATATTCCTATTCCCTCACAGGTCATGCTTCTCAAACCCCCATCAATGTGTCTGTGAACATCAGTAGGGAAGGAGCGACCTAAGAGACTGGAGACACTTTAGTTCTGTCAAAAAAACCAAATCTTTCAAGTGTAAATCATAAGTGGTTTTATAACTGGTAAAATTTTAATTCTTGGACCTAAACTGAGAGTTCAAACTTGAGACACAGTTCGTAAACAAACGGGTTGCTTACCTAAAGCGATTCCTCCATGAGGGGGTGCTCCATAATCTAAAGCTTGGAGCAGATGGGAGAGCAATTTCACATCTTCCTGAAATTCCAAAAGATAACACAGTCTAGATACAGAGTGAGGGTTACTCAGTATCACACACTAAGTTTAGGTGCTAAAGGGAATACAAAGTTCAATGAAAACCAAAAAGTACCATAAGAAGTTTATAATTTAACTAGAGAATAAGTAAAGTACACAAATGATTATAATACACAGAAAAATGCCTTGTTAAGTGCTGTTGAATTGGTTCTGACTCATAGAGATCCTGTATATGGTTTCCGAGGAGTTGCTGGTGAGTTTGAACCACTGACCCTGAGGTTCAAACTGAACTTGCGGTCAGTGCATTATCCTGTAGTGCCACACCAGGACTCCAGAAAAATGCCTGGTGTTTTGTAAGTGATGGCTGAGATCGTACTGATAGCTGAACAGAGTAAGATCAATCAGGGATGTAGAGACACAGGCTCGGAAAGGTAGGAAGAAAAGCAGAAAACTGTCCTATCACAAAAGCCAAGGGGTGAGAACATGAAGTTAGAGGGCAACAATGTCCGATGTTGATGCAAGGTAGGAAAGCTTGAAGACCAGGAACCAGGCCATTGGATTTGATGACCCTGAGTAACTTTGGTTGAGTAGTGTATGCAGAATGTAAAGTGTGTCTGGAAATGGTTCACTACTCACCCTGAGGGTCAGAAACAAGAGGGAGCTGTTCACAAACAAATACCAGGGCCTCATGCTAGAATTTTTATTTAATTGACCTGGGTGAATCCTAGGTAGCCCAGACCAGTTAAATTTGTTTGACACAACCCAGGTGATTTTCCCCTTATGTGTAGCCAGGGCTGAGAGAACTGATGGTGTGCAGGGAAAAAGCAGCAGCAGTGTGTTCTCACTGACTTTTGAGAAGTAGTCATTAAAAGGAATGAAAAGAGGGTTTGACTGCAAGGTGGGTGGTTCAAACTCACTAGCTGCTCCTTGGAAACCCTGTGCAGGTTTGCAATGAGTCAGAACCGATGGCACTTAACAATAATAACAACCTAACAATAATAACAATCCTACTTCATATCTGTTAGTAACCTGACAAAATGATGTTTTAGGAGCAGGCTCTCTTTAACCTGTTCCTTCCTGAAGCCTATCCTAACCTACTATGATTTCACCAAAAACGAAGCTTTTGCGCCTGCATTTGTACAGACTCTTTTTCTTTTTAAAATCTTAATTATCCCAATCTCTATCATTAAAATTTACTTCCTACTTCCCAAAAGATAAAGCATTATCTACTAAGTGATAGCTTCTCTCAGGCATTATCAACATTTTCAGTCATTCCAGCAGTGTAGTTAGGAGCCTGGGTTCAAAAGCCACACTGGCTGAATTAGAATTCTGGCTTTGTTTCCTTTGGTACTATGTGACTTTGGGCAAGTTAATTCATATGCTTCAGTTTTTCATTTTTAAAATGGGCATAATAAAAGTATCTGTCTCATCAAGTGGAGTCTTGGTGTGGTGCTGTAGATGAGCACTAGACTACAAGGTTGGTTTGAATTGAAAGGTCAGTGGTTCAGACTCACCAGCTGCTCCTCGGAAACTCTATGCAGGGTTGCTATGAGTTAGAACCGGCTCAATGGCACTTAAGAACAACAACAACTCATAAAATAATTGTGAGGATAAAATGAGTTAATGTATGAGCACTCAACAAACATTGGCCATTATTTTTATTTACCTTACAAAATTTTACACTAAAGGTGGAAAGATAATCCAGTGATATTCTATATCTAGCGAATCATCCATTCATACCAAATGTTTAACACAACCAACAAATATTCAGCCTGAAAACTAAGGCCAGGTTAGAAGATGATGTTACCTTTAGTAATGTTGCCAGGATGTAACGCTGTAGTTCTGCATCATGAATACGGATGGAGCCGCCTCCGATCTCACTGCCATTTAAAACCAAGTCATAGTGCTGGCTACGGACCTAGAAGAGTCATACAGCCTTTATGTTGGAAAAAATTCCTGGTTTATCTGTTCTGTACATAGGTTGAAGATACTGTTGTTACTTAGAGACAATGTATTAAGTCCTGGTTCAAACCCAACAATTTCTTCTAGGGCATGCAGTACTGGGTCAGGCTACAAAAGCAGAAGTACTCTGCCTTTATTTACACATTGCCTTTGTACTTGGAAGTATAGACAAGGTACCTTTTCAGGTTCAGTGTACAGGAGGTGGATGTCACTGGGGTGGGGAGCAGTAAAAGGGTGGTGGGCTGACTCCAGCTCGCCAGGATTGTCTTCCTTAGGAAGGAAGAGTGGGAAATCCACCACCCAAAGAAAAGAGAACAGAGCTGAGTCACGGAGCACCATTCCTCTAGCTTCTAGAAGGTCAGCACATTCCAGTCGTAATTTTCCCAGTAAAGAGCACTGCAAACAGAAGATACAAACGTTGAATAAACTACTTTGACAGAGTAGGTGCCTATGGTACAGTAGATTACTTAATTTGGCCCTTCTAGCATATGAGGACTGTTTACCACAAAGTTAGCACTTCAAACCTGCCAGTCGCTCCTCAGGAGACAGATGTGTCAGTCTGCTTTGGTAAAGATTTATAGCCTTGGGAACCCTGTGGGGCAGTTCTATTCTGCCCCAGAAGGTCACTATGAGTCAGAATCAACTCAGTGACAATAGGGTTAGCTTTTGGGGTTTAGCCATGCAACTCTCACACTGTAACATGGCAAGACTAGGCAAATAAGGTGTTTGTGGCCCACCAAGGACTTAGACAGCTTGCTAATAATGCAAATAAGTGCCTGGAACCTCTGTGGGAATGGGACCATGTAAATAAGGTATGTTGTTGTTGTTGTTAGGTGCCATGGAGTCGGTACTGACCCATAGAGACCTTATGCACAGCAGAATGAAACACTGCCCGATCCTGGGCCAACCTCACTACTGTTGCCACGCTTGAGTCCATCGATGCTGCCACTTGGCCAATATGAAGCCCTAATAAGGTTTTGCTTATTAGATCAGCTTTGCTATCCCAAAGTAATTAAAAAGAGCCAATTCCAGAGCAGAAGGGAACCTTACTATCATCAAGAAAGAAGAGGTGGAAATGGAATGTGTCTTTTGATCTGAGGTCCCTGCGCTGAGAACTTCCTAGCCTCAAGAGAAAGTAGGCGATGACACTAGAAACAGCCTGTGATACTGAGCCACAGTGGCAGCAGACCCAGAGATGGGCTTGCGGTGGAGCAATGTGATTCCTGTCTAATGGAGCAGGGAGGCTGCAGTGAGTATGCTGACCCATAAAGCACAAGACCTCAGAGCCTTTGGGTAGGAGGCTCCCTGGCAGAGGGGGTTGCCTCTGACCATATATGGACAGATCTAGGTTTGCTAGCACTCAGAGTAAGAGCTGAGCATCTTCAGGCAGGAAGCTTCCTGGAAAAGTGGTAAGCCTCTAGGCACTTACTGGCCAAGCTAAGCAGCTTTATAATACTTGTTCGAGAAGGGCAGAGGCCAAGCCTAAGTAGAGATGAGGACTAAGAGGGAGGGCTTTTCTGAGCAGGCAGAGAGGAGACCTGCATAGTCAAAAGGAGCTGAGACAACTGTCCTGCACTGAAGAAAAGAGATTTGCTTACACGCTTCCTGATCCTGACCCCAAGTTTGTAACCTGCTACTTACCTACTAAACTTCACTACTGCGAGTACGATCTGTGAGTTCTATGTGGCCACTAGAGTCAATTACTGACCCCTGCAGAGAGGCAGAGAGTGCCACTTGTGGGAAGGATGCTTGGTGACAGAATTGGTTAAAAGGTTGAAGAAAGAAGGTATGTTTGACTGCTATGTTATAAGCACCAGCAATAAGGGAAGGCATGTTTTCCCAAGTTGGCTCTTGGGGAAGGTCCTTGTCTTGGGGAAGGTCTTAGGCTCCAATGTGATCTTCATGTGACTTGACAGCTATATTAGAGATCTAGCACTGCTATAATAGAAATACAAGTGAAGGGCATAAACAAACAGAAATTTATTCTGTCGCAGTGTAGGAAGCTAGAAGTCCAAAATCAGAGCACTGGTTCTAGAGAAAGGTCCTTGTTCCCTTTCGGCATCTGCAGGCCCAGCATTTCTTAGAGGTCTCCCTGTGTCTTCACATCAATGTTTCCCTGAAACTATGAGATTCCCAGTGCAGGCATCCCAGGTCCAAAGGAAGCCAGGTTTATAGAGATTCTGTTGTTGTTGTTAAATGCCATCGAGTCGGTTCTGACTCATAGCAACCCTGTATAGGGTTTCCGAGGAGCAGCGGTTCACAGTTCAGTGGTGATCCACAGCACCACACCAGAAGTTCACAAGGACTCTACTCCTGCTATTCTTTCTTGGTGGAAGTAGATACCTCTGAGTTCTGCTTGCCTGTTTAATCTTTTATATCTCAAAAGAGACTGACTCAAGATACAACCTAATCCTGTCGATTAGTATCACAGAAGTGAGGATTTACAACCCACAGGATAATTACATTGGATCAAGGTTGCTCACATCAGATGACATCATGAGGAAAGTGACATTAGACCTTATCATGGGAGATGGCTATGTTTTAACTACCAAACCATTGAGATCCCAGGCCCAGTCAAGTTGACACAAAACCTAACAATTACAGCATCTTTTCACATCTCTGTTCACTTTTCTGTCCTAATCTGTTTTCATGACTAAAAGATTGTTGTTAAGTGCCGTTAAGTCAGTTTCAACTCATAGTGACACTGTATAGGGTTTCCAAGACTGTAATTCTTTGCAGGAAAAGAAAACCTCATCTTTCTCCCACTGAGTAGCTGGTGGGCTCAAACTGCTGACCTTGAGGTTTGCAGTCCAGCGATTATTCTACGGAGCCACTGCACTTTCCATCTAAAAGGCAGTTGACTTAAAACACACCTTATACTGATATGGTCACTTAACATAACAAAGAAAACCCATTCCCAAATGGGGTTAAGATTTACAACACATTTTTTCAGGGACACAACTGAATTCATAACAGTACATAAGTCCAGGATCTAACTTGCCTGAGAAAGGGTAGAAGTGACAAACATGCCTGAAAACATGTATGTATAGAATGCCACTTTGTGACCCATTTGATAATACATTTAAATATTCACAGAGGGTACCATTTCACTGTGATATTTAAAAATATTAATATATTCCTTATAAATATAGTTTCTAGTCTTCTTTCAAGGAAACTCCAGTAGAAATCAGGGCCATACCTTCCTGAGAAAGGAATATCAGCATTTTGGGTTTATACCAGGGGAAAGTTTAACAGATAAACTAATTTGTAGCAGGATTTTTATGTAAAATGAAAGCTCAAGTTATTTTTTATGAAATGCTATGATAGTAAGAGGAAAAGGGAAAGACAGTTTGCTTTGATGTTGAACTCTCAAAAGCTTCCTGTGGAGGAAACAATGCTAACTAAATATAGTTGTGAAAACAGTATGGAGACAGTGCCTGAACTTCTGTAAGTTCACCAGCGGGGAGGACAATCACCCCAAGTCCTAGTCTTAGGAGTCAGAGGTCAGACATGCCTCCATTCTCCAACTTTTTTTTTTTTTTTTTAATACCAATTCTGACACCAGTTGTTCCTCCTGTAGCACTTTCTTTCTTCTGTTTTTTAAGAGCAAAGTGTTTACTGAGTATCGATATCTAGGAGGGAGAACAGGGGAATAGAAAATATCCCAGCTATGTCTCCCCAGAGAAAAAGGGAGAGGAGTTTTATTGGGATTTTGGGCATGAGGTAGGGGCCTGAGGAAATGTCAGGAACTCTGCTGTTTATTCAAGGTTACAGAGATCATCCTAGTCCTGTTGTCTCCAGGCGGCACCATTACTCTCTCTTGTTGTTGTTGTTGTTGTTATGTACCGTGGAGTCGGTTCCAACTCACAGCAACCCTGTACAGGATTTCCAAGGCTGTAAATCTTTACGGGAGCAGAAAGCCTCATCTTTCTCCCGCGGAACAGCTGGGAGTTTCGAACTGCTGACTGTGAGGTTCGCAGCCCGATTCGTAACCACTACGCTACCAGAGCTCCTTCTAGGCATAGGTTATTAGTGACCATAATAAAAGATGCATGTTTGTTTTCTTCTGTTCCTGCCATAGTTCTTATAATAGGGATTGTTGTTGTTGTTAAGTGCCCTCGAGTCAGTTCTGACTCATAACAATTAAAGAAGTGGTCAGTTTGATGAAAGAAAAAGGGAGTCATTTTGGATTGCAATATTTAACTATAGCAGACAGAGAGGTATCATAACTATAATTATTATATTCAGATGGCGGGATGCCATAGCACTTTCTACTTTTCTGCTGGGTTCATGGTTTCATTGCAATAGGCTCATGGCTTTCTTCATTTCTGCTGGGTTCATGGCTTCATTGCCACACAGAACTCACAAGCAATACTAATAATTATTGGGCTTCTTAGAAAAACTGTTGTTGAGTGTGGTCGAGTTGGTTTGACCCATAGTGACCCTATATAGGGTTTCCAAGGAACAGCTGGTGAGCTTGAACTGCCCACTTTGTGATTCAAACCGACTTTGCAGTCCAGCCCATTAACCCATAGTGCCACACTAGGACTCCTCATTTATCCAGTGCTTAGTAAGCAGGACCCCTATTAGGGAAGTTAATAGGCTACAATTCAGGATCAGAAATGTTCAGGATACAATTCTTTGGTCAGGACAGATTTATCTCAGCCATGCCTGTGGGTACATCTATCTCTGGTCTTCAGCCTTCTCAGCCACACAATCCCTGTCCTCTGCCATCTTGCGCAAGTATTACAAAGCTTTTTAGCTCTGCTGATAAATGCGCAAAAGGCACTCCACCCTGCCACTAAGCCTCCATGGGTTGGCAAACCTTGCTCTACAGACAAACGCCTGGAGGCACCCCACTCCACCAACAAGCTTCCTGTCTAAAGACACTCAGCTTTCTTGTGAAAACACAAGAAAACACACCATTCTGTCTCCTCCTGGTCTCCTAGTTCTGCTTCCTCTCTGTCTTTCCTTCTCATTGTCTCTTGCCTTCTCTGGCATTACAGCTGTTTCTTGGACTGATGAGTTTAGCGCAGAGATCTTGGGTCTCAAGTATGCATTGCACTCCTGGCTCTTCTTTTGTGAAGGTCATGAGATCCCTTTCTGCTTTTGAGATGGCTCATTTTAAACCTAGAAGGATGGCAAAACTGGCCAGTCCCCACATTAGGGTTCATATACCTTAGTTTTGGAATCCTAGTATGGCGCTGCAGGATCAACACTGGACTGCTGGTTCTTAAAACCCACTGACCACTCCTTGGCAACACTATACAGGGTCACTATGAGTCAGGACTGACTCCATAGCACTCAACAGCAACAAAATATTTATATGCATGGTGTTGGGACAGCATTGTAGAATAAGCACTAGATATATAACTATCAGGTTGCTGGTTCAAAACCATCAGCTGTCTCCTGGAAGCCCTATACAGGATTGCTATGAGTTGGAACTGACTCAACAGTCCAACCCTGAGTGTCATGTAAATTATTAGCAAGCTATCCAATACCCTTGGTGAGCTACAAACACTTCATATATGCATAGTCCTACCCAATCATTTAAGGAGCTCTGGTAGCATAATGATTATGAGTTGGGCTGCTAACCTCAAGGTCAACAGTTTGAAACTACCAGCCGTTCCATGGGAGAAAGATGAGGCTTTTTGCTCCCGTAAAGATTTACAGCCTCAGAAACCCTGTGCAGGGTCACAATTCCATGGCACATAACCACAACCACCATCACCCAGTCATTTGCTAAGAGTTACAAAAACTCTGGCCAGAAGTGCCAGGTCCAGGAATTCACTGCACCTCAATAGGGCAACTATGAATGAGAAGAACGATCCTGATAAAATACTTAATTAGATAATATTACTATGAAAAAAACCATCTTATGCGTAAGAGCAAGAATGAACTTATATCATGTAGCATATTTCTAAAATTCATGATAATTTCATAATGATCCCTAAAGCTAACTTCAGTCTTCCACATATTCCTAAAGAATTGTGATTTGGTCATGTGTAGTCACACTCATCTGCCAGCTGCTGCTTAAGGGGAAAGGTGGTCCGGGGTACTGGCTAGTCCAGCATCTCTCCTGCAGTCGGATCTTTCTTCATTTTCAGAAATAAGAATACATTATATACAAAAGTCTAGGACTACCAAATTTGAAGACATTTTTTTCATGATCATATTTAAGGAGCTTTCTAACCATAGTCAAACTTAATCTGTGTGAGTAATGCCAATGGAAGCTGGCAGCAGCTGAAAACATTATAAAATACTAAAAGATATTTATTTATAAAAACTCATGCAGAGGAACTCCATTTTCAAATATGCATTATATACATAGGAAGAGAGGCATTATTCAGAATCAGCAGCACAGATGCTTGGGAGTATTTATCCTTACTGTTTTGTTATGCTCTCCGGCAGTTAGTAGGACCATATCTTCTTCTTGGATCTCCAGTAGTCTAAGTAGTTCCAACTTTTGCTCCTCCATTATGGATTTAGCAACGGGAGAATTCCAATTTAAATTAGCGTTCAGGAACACAGGTAAGATTTCCTGTGATAAAGAAACAGATTTATTTACCTTTTTAAAAAGGTGAAGTTGGTTTCATTTTCTCATAACAGTAGTACAAAGATTTCTTGTCCTCAATACAAGAGAATGTACATGAGATTATGTTGCCCCTTCAAAATAACACTAAAGGAATTTGAAAAAGTAATCCCATCAAAGAAAAAAAAGAAGAAAGAAATGGAGGGTGGAGAGGCATATCAGCAGATAAGAAATCTCCACAAGTATTTGGCAGATTGCAAGTAGAGGGAATAGGAATAACTAAAGGAGCAAAGGAGCAAGATGAGGGGTGCTCTGGTCTAGAACTAAGTGGAGGTGGATACAACACAAGAAGAAACTGATTAAGACTCCATGAGTGCCAGAAAGAACAAACAAGATAAGATGGTGGATCGGGTAGAAGAGCAGTGAGGAGCTCTGTCAGCAACAATACAGAATATTGGACCAAGCAGGCTCAGGGGATGGTGCCAGAACTCTGAACTACATATAAAGGAATATTTAGAAGGCTAGAAGACTTACAGCTAGGAAAATTTGTAGTAGAAGCAAGAAATCCATTGCTTTCTAATTTAAGACACTAAGCTGCTCCTGGAGTCAACATCTTGGGCAAGACCAAGCAGGGAAGGATCAGAGCAGCCATGGACACCTGACAGAACTGCGGAGATAAAGGTTTGGACATTCTTTTTTTTTTTTTTTTGTATCTGTTCATTGGTCTCTTGCTGCCTGTGCACCTCCATTCTGGTAACTAGAGGGGGTGACTGAGTGAGTGGACACTCCACCCCACCCCTGGAAGGTTCTACTATGCATGTGCACAGATCTCCTTGAAATTTAAAGAGATAGTTTCCACTTAAAACCAAACGGCAGTGCAAAACAGCCACAGCCGGCCCTGAACTGTTTATCACTAGGAAAAAGGCCTGAATGGGGATTGTGGAGCAGGACAGGCAGACTAAAAAGGAAACAGGCTGAAAATTAAATTCTGAGTTATGTCACAATGACCAACAGTGGCATCTTGAAATTTCTCAGGAGGAGGAGTGAAAAGGGAAGCCCATCTCCTGATCACATCTACCTGGAGGAAATCAGGAAGCATAAAAGATACCAAAATACACACACCCATCTAAATATTAAGGCCAGAGCTAACCCCTGAATATGCCCAAAAAACAGAAAAAGATGACTATTTCAGCACATGTCCAGAAACGAGATAAACTGATTGAAGCAAATGAGCTGGAAGCAGACCTACACTCCATACTGGAAGATGGGCAGGCTTTGGAAATGCCTGAGAAGGAATTCAGAAAAATGATTATAAAATGTATCAGAACACTATACATCACACCTAGTGAAGAATGTGAATGAATCAAAGTTAATGCTATATAGTACATCATTGTTAGGATGTCCCATGTGATGAAACGTGGATCACATGTCCTTCAATTGTGGGACAGATCATTATTTGGTTCTGAAATATTAATTGACTTGTTCTATTCACCAACAGCTCAGTAATTCACCCAAAAGCACAAGTAGTCATCATCTTAAATTTCAGTGATTTTAAAAGAATAAAAATTTAAATATCAGACCTATCAGAATTAAAGGTTTTGTTTTTAAAGTAGCTTTTAAATTCATTTGTGCTTTGTGTTAAAATCCCACAATGGATGATTTTCTCTTTGTAATAAATCTTATTTTGAAAAAATCAGTTCCAATGAAATGGCTTCAGATTTCAGTCCTGAGCTAATAAGCAATAGATCCTCCCAACTGCAGCTGGCCTTTCTCAAACTCTCTGCTGTGATCCTTTAGATTTCAGCAGTCCTCTGAACATCTTCTGTAAGGGTAGCTATTGTACATAATGATTTCTTAGTTTCCTCAGTCTTCTTATAATTTTTTGAGAGATCAAAGACTATGCCTACTTTATTCTGTGTTTACATCTCTAGCTCAACTCTGGTGCTGACTACAATATCAGGTACACAACAGTTTTTCAAGTTTCACGATATTTAATGTATAAATGACTGCTTTTTCTACTTGTGTTTATATTTTATAAATTCTTTGTTCATGTCTTTTGATTGAGGAGCCCTGATGGCTCCATGTTAAGAGTTTAGTTGCTAACTGGAGGACCTGGGTCATTGCTCCTGTAAAGTTTACAGCCTTGGCAACCTTCTGTCCTACAGGGTCACTACAAGTTGGGATAGACTCCACAGCAAATAACAACAACATGGGTATATTTATATTTTGTTAGGTAATTAACTATAGTCTTTGGATATAAAGTATTATCTATGTTTTTGTGTAGTTTTTTTTTCCCAATTCTATATGGAATTCAAGAATACTTGGGTATATTACAACATCTTTATAAGTTTTAATTTTTATATTTTCACAGAAAAAAAATCTAAAATTTTGATACATCTATCTTTTAAGTATTTGAAAAAAAATCTGTTTCTTGTATTTCAGGATGTCTACATTTTCCCAAGAATGGTGACAATTTATTGCAATTGTCAAAGTAATATCTGGAGATCAATTGGACCATTTCTAAGAAGAAGCTCACCATTGCCAGCCCTTGTGAGGGCTATTTTCTTGCTCTTAAGTAATTCTGAATGTCAGGGTCCTTTCTGAATACAACATTATAGAGTTCATTCACATTCATTTTAAAAGAAAATGAAATTTAAAGTTTAAAAAACAAAACACTATACACAATGGAGTTGAGAAAAATAAGGAAGAAGTCAGGAAAGCTCTACAGAAACAATCAAATAAGACAGATACAGCATTGGAAACAATTCACCTACAGAAAGATGTCCAAATGATCAATAATAGAGTATTAGAAATGGACAATACACTGAAAGGGCAAAAGAGTAGAACTGAAGAGACAGAATCCAGAACTAGTGAGCTAGAAGATAAATCTCTCAACACTACTAAGAAGAGCAAGCACAAAAAAGTATAAAAAAACCGAAGAAGACCTAAGATTCATGTTGGACAACATGAAGAGGAATAACTTAAGAATTATCAGCATTCCAGAACAGGAAGAATCACACAAGTCCACAGAGGAGATAGTAGAAGAGCTTCTGGAAAAAAAAAATTCCCTAATATCCTGAAAAGCGAAAAGATAAACATTCAAGAAGCTCAACAAACCCTAGGAAGGATAGACCTAAAAGAAAATCACCGAGACATATAATAATCAAGCTCTTCAAAATCAAAGATAAGGACAGAATCCTGAAAGCAGTTAGGGAAAAAAGAAGTGTAACATACAAAGCAAGCAAATCAGATTAAACTCAGATCTCTCAACAGAAATCATGTAGGCAAGAAAGCAACGAGGAGACATATATAAAACCCTGAGAGAAAAAAACTTCCAACCAAGAATCCTTTACTCAGCAAAGCTGTTAATCAAATACGATGGTGCAATAAAATATTCCAGGATAAACAGAAGCTAAGGGATTTTGCCAAAGCCAACCCTGTTATGACAAACATCCTAAAGGAAGTTCTGTGGACTGAGAACAAACAAGAACAGACAACTAGAGAATGACGTACGTGGCAGCATCACCCTGAACTCAATTGACAAATGGAAGAGTAAAGAACAGAATAAAACTATAAGAACAGAGGATCTGGGAAGTCAGTCTATGATCAAAACAATGACAATATGAAAGAAAGTAAACACAGAGGAACAGAGATCCAGGTGGTGAGAAGGTCAGGTAGATTCCAGGATAAAATAAACTTTCTTAAATATAGGGAAGAGTTAATGGAATATAAGGTAACCATAACAGTGGGTTTGGGGTTTAGTTCGGTAGTTGGGGAGGGCAATACTAGAAGGCGGAGGAGGTGGAGGAATAAGATATATAAGAGAACACTGAGACAGCTTTGCATGACCTAAGTGGGACAGAGGTAAATAGTGATGCATGCTCAACCTTGGAACAACAGGGCTCTGTGATACAGGGATCTAGGCATAATTTAAAGAGGGGAAATAATACTAAAATGCTTGACTGTCATGAATATTGGTTTCCCTTGCCTTCTATTGTAAAATAGACACTTGAGAGGGAGAGAAAGGAATTTTGGGAAACATGATTATAGAAAATTGTAAGCCTATAAACTGATTGGAATACCTAAAAGGGGTTCTAGAACTTGCCCAGTGAAATAGGCCTCTTGCAGAGTATAAGACCTTAGGTGGAATCGTGAGTCCCATCCAGAACCTTACAAGGTGGGATATTACCACTAGCAAGGACAAGCAGACCAGCCTAGAACTGCTAGAGCAATAGAAATACACATCTTCAAAGAAAGATCATCAGGAAAAACCCAAAACAAAAATGTCAGCATGACTGGCTATTACAAGTATGTAAGCTTGCTGGAGATCACATTGGTTTACTGGTGAGTGAAAGAGGGAGAAAGGCAGCAATGAAGAAATGGGCTGAGTTCAACTACAGTCCATTGACTCCCATTGACCTGGAAATGAGAGAGAGAAGAGGAAGGGCTGGTTGGTCCAAAGTGTAGTGAGACCTGGGGACACTTGAGTCCATGGACAAGGTCAAAGCCACAGAGGGCTAGAGCTGAGAGTGAAGCATCCAGCTGATATGAAGTGAGGTGAGATGCACAAGAACACCCAAACTTTCAGACAGTACCCATTTGACCTAGCCTTGATGGCTTGATAATCAGAACTTGATTAGAGGAAGGTTATAAAAAAATTTTTTTTTTAAATTTTTATAAAGGAAACAAGGGTAAATTGCTACAATTTGATGAATCTGACCTATACTCATGGAGGTAGTAACTCTAAATACCAACAGAGAGAGAAGGAGTCTTCACATCAAGTATCAATGCTACCTATCCCCTCTGTACTCAGGATAATTAGGGACGGGCAACTTAGACATTGGCTACCTAAAATGAGGGGGCAATAGAGGCACGAAGTGACTAGCTTATAAGGTTTCAAGAGGGAGTTTAGTTTAAGAGTACTGGGGGAAAGAAAGGGTCCCCACTGAATAGATTTCATCTTGTCTAGATGAGTCTGGTGAAAAGAGATGGGGATAAGATTCGTATGA